AGTACCAAGCATGTGGAAATCCCATTGATTTTAAACATTTTTTACTTAGCAGGAGACAACTTTTTGATGTCAGGCAAATATTCCCATAAAATTAAAAGTGAATGTCAATCTGCAGTGCCCCAAGAAAAAATCTTCTGGTATCTAATATCTAATCTTAATTTTCTAAAAAAAAGAAACATGATTTGAAAGACACTCGAATTCAGTCGACCTTTAAGAATAGACGTGAATAAAATTCTAATTGTTCTGAATAGAAAGAGAACAACAGTGGAGCGTGATGTTATGACAACATAGCTGAAAAGAAAAACATTATATGTTGATATTACACTGTCAGTGTGGCTGAAATTTAAAAAAACACACATTCCTCTCCTGTTATGACTACGCAGAGCTTATAAAAAGACCGCTTAGATCCATTTGAGTATCAGACACAGAAGAGAAACGTGCAGCAACGTTACAGGACTCTTCCCAACCCCATCGGAGTGAATATAGTCTGGCGTAGGGGTGAATGATAAGCAGTGACTATTGTGACAGATATTGCAAGATGATTCACAATTTTAATGGGAAAAGTAATTTATTCTTTTTATTTCTACTGCGGACAAAAGAAAGATGTAATTAGTGGTGTGGTCTCGACCAAATAAGCATGTTTTCTTATATCTGCAGACCAGGGATTCTCTGTAGCACCAAATGTCTCATTTAAAGTAGTTTTTTGTGGCACATTTTATAATTAGCAAAAAATTGCAGGTCCTCCAAGTTGGCTATTGCACTTGTCCATATTGGAATTTGGTTAACCTTTATAATATTGTAAAGATCTCTGTTTTGCAGTATTCCTGTACATTTAAAGGTGCAGTTTACAAAAAAATTACACCAAAAATCTGATTTTGGTGTATTTTACTACCAGAACATTGCATACGTATAGTAGAAGACAGACATTTTTTACAGAAGATCTGCTTGTGACTGCTTAAGAACTATTTTTTAACAACTTTTAGAAATCTTTAACTCAATTTCTTGGAAATAATCGCAAAATTTTCAGTGTTTAGTGTTCTGTGTTTACTCAGGTTGTATTTGGTTGACAACTGTTTATTATTGAATTTGTTGTTAGTGGCTTCCTGGCAACCCATTCAGAATCTTTGTCTGTTTTTATCTGCATTTGAAATCTGTAGAGATAAAAAATTGTAAAGATTAAGGGAAAGTCTAACCTTCATGTCTTCATCCTCAGCTAAACCAATGAAGATGGAGTCTGCAGTCGAGGCTCAGCAGGGGGTGGAGACTGCTGTGACTGAGACTGAGAGCCAGCAGATCACTCCGGCACAGATCGCTACGTTAGCACAGGTAACGCATGACGCCGACTTATGACGTGTGCATGACTGTCAATTTTAAATGTCACAAATGTAAAACCGCACGACAGACGGTCCAGTGACATTACTTCTGAAATTTAGGTATCCATGACAACAGGACACGCCTCAGCAACAGGTCCCACGGTAACGCTGGTACAGCTTCCCAACGGACAGACGGTTCAGGTCCATGGCGTCATCCAGGCAGCACAGCCGTCTGTTATCCAGTCCCCACAGGTCCAGGCTGTACAGGTGAGACACGCACTTGCACACAGCTGGTTTTTGTTTTGGATACAACATAAAGTTAGAAAGTTTGATTGATGTTTTACTTTCTTGTACGTGTTTGTTCCAGATTTCTACCATAGCAGAAAGTGAAGACTCCCAGGAGTCAGTAGACAGTGTAACTGACTCTCAGAAGCGCAGAGAGATTCTCTCACGACGCCCCTCATACAGGTAATTAGTAGGAGACGCTGCCAAGATCATCATCCATAGGCTCTTAGGAATCGATTGAATTATTACATTATTTTAATGAAGCTGTAGAATGTCACTCTTGCATTTAAATGTGTTTTGGGGGAAAATTTGCATTGATCACACTGTAACAAAACTACAAAACAAAACCAACATGGAACCAGTAACCACTAATCTGAACTGTGCAGCCAGTCAGAATTTACTGGAGCACATCCCACTAGTGTGCTGTGATGTGGTGTGTGAGTTAAAGTGGTGTCTCCTCTCTTAAAAAAAGTAGCTACTTACAACAGTATAATTCAAGTAAAAAACCTTTTAGGAACATAAGTAAGTAAGTGAGACTTTAATGAGATTTGGCTGGAGAACGGCGCATTAGTGCTCAGTTGAAGCCTGTTGAAAATGATGAATTTGAAGCACTCTACTTCAAAAATGAGGAACTTTGCGTATGAAATAGTTGCATGGAAAGTCAGAAAAGTCTGCCATCACCCATTTTAGTTCTGTGTTCACACTGGGAGCTTTACAAAAGTCCGGCTTCAGCACAGCCCACTCTGCACTTACAATGCTGACTTCTGCAACTCCGGTAATAAACTCCAGACAGCGTTTGGATCTAAACCAACATTGCAAACGTGATCTGGAGTTAAAGAAGAGGAAAAAAAGCAATGATCTTTGTACTTTTTTGCCTGTATGGATGTAAATTACTCCCACAATGTTTTTTTTTTTTTTTAAAACTCCGAAATTTAACTTAGTGAAACCTTATTCTTAATTTACTCTTTATTATTGTTGCTTGTCCCAACAGGAAAATCCTCAATGACCTTTCATCCGACGCACCAGCTGTCCCTCGTATCGAGGAGGAAAAGGCTGAGGAGGACTCATCTGCTGCTGCTGCCACACCAGCCATCACCACCGTTACTGTCCCCACACCCATCTACCAGACCAGCAGTGGCCAATACAGTAGGTGGCTCACTGGAGCTCCCTGTGAGCCTGCAGCTTCCTGCAATTCAAACATCATAGTTGAGGGACCTTTACCTGTTAGCCTCTGTTACACACAAGAGTTTCCATCATATGTGTGAAAGTGCAAAGAATATGTTTTTTAGACTTAAATCAGCCTGTGTCAAAAGGTCAGGTGCTGATTGTTCCTTTAACTCCACAACAACAAATGCATTTGTTATTTTACTTTATGTGATGCCTTATAAATGTTTGGCCATTTATCTGCGAAGTTTATATTAGCAGCAATTACAACTGCTTAAAACAGAAGTAAGAGTGCAACACACACATTGTACCACAATACACTGTCATGTTTTAAAAAAGAAAAAAAAAAGTGGAACATTTTGCAGCTAAAGAGAGAGATTATTGTGAGGGCTTGGTAGAGACAAAACCAGACCTAAAAGTAGACTGAATATTGGATACAAATTCTGCAGGTGGACAGAAAATGATAGCGATATGTAAATAGTCAACATTTGCTGACATGTTTGCAACTATTTATAAGATGGTAAAATGCCAAGTCTTTCTATCAGTCAACTAGGTTTAGTGTGCATGATAAAGATATCTTTGGAAGCCTAATAAACATATTGTTGACAGTCTGAAAAGCTTCATTATCACAATATGATGTCATACAACATATCTGAAAAAGGGCAAGGCATTAAAAGAGAAAAATGCATCTTGATAAAAGGACAAAACCGAGCAGCAGAGTATTTCTTCACTTCCCTCACCTGTTACAGTTTTCCACCCAAAATGCCAAACTGCCACATATAAATAAAACACATTCCTGATTTGATTTTCCTCCTTTTTTGATCGTCTCATTTGTTTCTTCTCCTCTCACCAAACACAAAGTTGCCATCACACAAGGAGGAGCCATTCAGCTGGCCAATAACGGTACAGATGGAGTCCAGGGCCTCCAGACTCTGACTATGACCAATGCAGCAGCAGCTGCTCAGCCTGGAGCCACCATCCTGCAGTACGCACAGACCAGCGACGGCCAACAGATACTGGTTCCCAGTAACCAGGTGGTGGTCCAAGGTGAGTTAGAATGCACCCATTATTGCACAAAATAATTCTTCCTTATAAGAGTCAAACAAAAACACTGAGCTATTTGTTGTCAGTGTATGAAAAGATGTTAATTTTAACATCCACTTTCGGCCAACGTTATTATTTAGCCACCTCCGGTGACGTCCAGGCCTACCAGATCCGAGCAGCCCCTGCTAGCACCATCGCCCCCGGGGTGGTCATGGCCTCCTCACCCGCCCTTCCCACACAGGGCGCCACAGAGGAGGTGACCAGAAAACGGGAGGTCCGCCTCATGAAGAACAGGTACGAACAGGGAAGGAATGTGCATCTTTGTGTGTTAAGAACATCTAATGAGTTGCATTAAATATAAATAAACATTCACAGCTGCTGCCATTTGGAACCAAACCAGACTGAAACATTGGAGAAGAAACCTGATGTCAGGCTACTCAATAGATACAGCACCCTCCATAATTATTGGCACCCCCGGTTAAGATGTGTTAAAAGGCTTAAAATAAATTCAATTTTTATTGCAGAAGCATAGTCTCACACTGAAAATTGTAGAAAAATGTAACCTTCAACTCAACTCAAATGAATTGTTGGCAAAAGGGGGTTGTACAAAGTATTAACATCAAGGGTGCTGATAATTGTGGCACACATGATTTGATGTAAAACAATTATTTTTTAATGTGGGATTTTTTTCACACTGAATAAATGCACTTGAATTAAAGGTTGAATTTCCTCTTTTTTTCCATTGTGGTCCTATATTATTTAGAAAAAAACTGAATTTACTAGAATCCAAAGAACACATCTTAACCAGGGGTGCCAATAATTATGGAGGGCGCTGTAAATAATTGTAGAATTAAGAAATGAATCAGTTAATGGGGTTTACAAATAATTTTATTGATTATTAAAATGAAATCCCAGCCTATTGTCTTTGTTATGACGCCTCTGATATAATAACACTCCCAAATCCTCCCCAAGGGCAACCATAAGAAAGAAACAAAAACCAAAATAATGTCTCATCCTTCCTACAGAGAGGCGGCCCGTGAATGTCGCAGGAAGAAGAAGGAGTATGTTAAGTGTCTGGAGAACCGAGTTGCCGTCCTGGAGAACCAAAACAAAACACTAATCGAAGAACTTAAAGCTCTTAAGGACCTTTACTGCCATAAATCTGAGTAGTTCCTCTACTGAACACCAAGCTGGGCCAAGTAGCATTTCATTTCCTTTCAAAATACCTTTGATTTTGCCTGCCTGGCCTTCTAGTTTGCTCACGGCTGGCATTTATCTTCTTGTTTGTTTTACTTTTTTTTTAGGGAAGAATTTACTCAATCTGGTTCTGCTTCAGTAGGCTGTCAGTTTATAACAAATAAACATACACAAACAGGGTTTCCGCCTGTTTGCCTGGCTAGCTAAGGCTGGAAGGTAGCAGGAGTTTATGGTAGTTGGAAGCGTAAAGTGTTGAACATCACTCTACACACAATGAGAGTAAAGAACATGCTCTTTCTCTATAGTGTGTTCAACAGACTGTTACATGGTTAACTGGTGTAACTAGTTTAAAAACATCTTCCCCAATACTTAGGCCAGTGGGCTGCTGGGCCTCTAATCGACTGGCGGAAGCCCTGACAAAATGATGTATCATCATGCAGGACTGATGATAAACATGGAAAAAAGTTCCACCTGAAACTTTCTATTTTGAAGTAATAGCTACAAATCTGTGCAACATGATTTAAAGGGTGCAGTCAGCTGCTGACAACATGTTGCTTTACACACTTCTCTCTGCAAGCCTGCGTCTTGTTGTCATAGTTTCGGTCTGTATTAGTCGGCTTCATATTGTTCTCATCATTGTTGAGATGTTTCACAGGAAAATAGTGTCCAGTGACACAAGGGAAATATTATCCTTTTATGTGCTTTCAACATGAAAAAGAAGCTCTACATGGACTCTTTTTGTTGCCATCATCAGGTCAAACAAGTTTTTGTTGAATTTCCAGACCAACCACCTGATTCTGTTGGTTCATAGTGGTTTACTTGTAGACTAACCTCTGTCACCTCTGCTCAGATCTGAAATGTTTTTGGTTGTATTAGTTGTTGCAAAAAGTTATTTAACCATCTGAACCCATAGTACACGTTTTTACTCACTGTGGAATTTTCACTGCCCTGGGCCTGTATGGAAACAACACAATCATGTCTACAAGTAGAGAGAACTCAAAAGTGGGCAACAAAAAATATTTTAAAAAAATTGAAAAACTGAATTTAGCACATAAAACATTTTTTTCTAGTGCCTACATGTATTACCAAATTTTGGGTGGGGTGGGGGGTGGGGGGGATTGGTGGCTCTACATACTATAAGTATTTTAGTATTTACATTTTTAATGTGTTTACATACTGCTCTGTGTAAACACAGCCTGCATTCAGACAAAAAGGCTCTGAATTTTGCTTTCGTTACTGTTGCTCACTGCTGAGTCACTGATGCCTTCACAGTTCTGAAGGAGCCCAGAAACCTGGTTTGTGCAAATTATGTATTTGTGGCACATTTTTAAATTAGACATGCGATTCTGATGAAATATCACAATTTTAGGCTTAGATTTAGTTAATTTTGCCAAAACCAAAAGTCACACACAGACTGTTTTGCTAGACAGCTTCTTTCTTTGATAGATGGTGTCATTTTAGTGATTAAAAAAAAAAGATAATATGCCTTCCAAACCTGCCGGCGGGTTTTGGGGTTCGAAGCATTAAACTGCAGGCCAACAGTTGTGTTTCAGGAGTTCTAACATGCGATTTTACGGACAGTTTGTTGTCATTTTTGGTGATGAGTTCAATATTTAACCATTTTCTGGCCAAAACTATGACGACAAGTTCCAGCTTGTAAAATAACATTATTTGCTTTTACTATGAATACAATTTAATACGCTACAATTGTGATGTTATTTGATATTTTTGCCTGCTGTACATTTTGTACATTTTGTGCAGAATATTCAGAAAATACTTTCTCCAGAAAATATAAAACATTTTAAACAAGACTTGGACATCTCTGGATTCAAGCAGGTCAGATGCAATTAAAGGCTTTGAATGAAGTGTGAATCTCTACTTAAGCAGCATCCTGATGCGAACTACCTTGTAGAGGAAACTACAACTAATTGGGCACAAACAACAATTTTTTTCTAAGTGTTTTTAAAGATGCTACCAACTGCCGACTGGGATGGACATGGAAATATGTTTGTGTGTCAGCGGACGTTGGATTTCCACAGTCGTGTCTGTCAGAGGAGGACGTTCTGTTTTCTGTAACAACGCACTTTTTTATTCACTCATGTCATTTTTGTGATTCTCCACAACTGACAGTTGTCAAAGCTGCTATTCTAATAAGATCATAAGCAGGCTGAGGGACAGTTATATAGAAAGATTGTTGTTTTTACAATCTGGAGTCTTGTTTTTATGGTTCTGGTTAACATTCCTGATAGTTACACAGACATTATTTCCAGTTGTGCAACAACAAAGATCTTTTTTTTTTCTAAATTGAAATAATTTGTAAGTGAAAATAAATGTAAATGTTAAAGATTTTACCCAGACGGTTTGGTACAAAAGGAAGACAATGCAAAGCTTTGCAAAACTACTTAATAATTCCATTTGGACTGATTACTCTCTGTAGTTCTTCACACAAGTAGTTTTTTTCTAAGGACATTCAGATAATTGCTGGTGACTGAAATGCTGTCCTGTAACAGAAAAGAGTGTCTAAAAGGATAAAAATAAGTTCCAGGTTGTACAAAAAATACACTCATTGAGCAATTATAGCTGCAGGTGGAAGTGGTTTCCATAATCAATAATCATCTCATTCGTTTGTCTTCAAAAAATGTTTTAATTTTTCCATGACATTTAATTTTTCAGTGTTCTCAAGTATTCTTTCTGTATTTGGTGGTGGTAAAATATGGATTGTGACAACATGGAAGATTGTTTTTTTTGTTTGTTTGTTTTTTTTTTAAGATGTAGCAAATTGGATTCTTTGAAATCTACAAAATATATTGGCTACGAGTTTAACAGTAATAATCCATGAAGACGTGCATTATGTTAAGAAAAGGTCATTTTTTGTGGGACTGTGTGGTTTTTCAGAAGATATGTGTATGTATTTGTCGGTTTATTTTTTTATATCACTGTACATAGACTCTACAGCATGTGTAGACCTCATGTATTTCTGTTTATTTGATATGAAAAATGTTCTTATGGCTTGTATAAAAAAAACAACATGTTTGCATATTTGTAACATACATCAGTGTATAATTGAAAGTATGTGTGTGTGTGTTCATGTTATCCACCAGGCCTACCGTCGTCATGGCAGCTAGTGTATGAGAAAAGGCCTTCGTTGGAGACGTTATGTTTTGGAGTGCTGTTTAGGATCAGTGGTGTTTGTTTGTAGGGAAGAAGAAAAAGAAGTCTGTTGAGAGCAGTTGGGGTCCACGACATTTATCAGTTTCATTGTTTATGTTCTTACCTGTAAATGTATTTTTATCTTTTATCTATTAAGCAGAGACGGCTCCAGTAGTAACCATTTTTTTTATATATGTCATCAAATGAAAGCACAATTTGTCTTTCCACTGGAGCCCTTTTTTATGTTTATTTTATTGTACTTTAACTGCATTTATTTTACTACAAAGCTACTTTAGATTTTTTTATTTGTTACTGCCATTGGTTCAAGGGGTGCGATACATGTCGGTGAATCAATTCAGTGAATTTCAACAAAAGTGGGATGTTTTGGGGGCAAAGATACTCTGTGATTTTAATATGGAAGCTTCAAATCCATGAATTTGTCTTTAGTTCACTGTTTGTGTTTGACAACTGAACACTGAATTTTAATCATATCCTGTTTGAAAATGGTAGTTGGGTCCACTTATTACCTTTTCCCAGAGCTTTAAATGCATCTCAGTCTTCATAAGCAGATTGAATTAACTCAAGTATGGAAGTTCAGTTGTGTTATAACATTGATGTGAGATGATAACTCTTGTCTCACTTTGGTTTGGTTCAGATTTGGGAGTTGTTTTTGTTTTTGTTTTTTTGCGTTTCAGGGGATGAAATGGAGAGGAAAGGCTACATTTGATAGTATTTAGTAATAACTGTATGATCAGTGCCAGGGCTTTAACAGTGTCTGTAGGGCTTGGTAGCAGTCAAACGTATTAGATACCGGTGCCATTAACATATCTGAGATGAAGTGTATTCTGGAAAGAAAGAAAAAAAAAAATCATTTCTACCCCTTGTCATTCACCTATCCAGTGCTGGTGCTGAAAAATTAATAATCGAGTAATAATCTTTTTTTCTGTTAATTTAATATGGTGAACTCTACTTTGTGATGTGATTACACAATATCTTTCCAGCAATTACAAGCAGTGTTTTGATTTCTGTGCCAGAATAGTTTGTACCCTCTGGCCACATTTGTGCATGTAACAGATTGATATCCATGTGTGTAAAAGTATATATAAATATATAATTTCTAGAACAGTAATAATATGACATTTTTTCTAACTTTTACTGTGATCAGTTTGTATATTGCCACTTTTACAAGTTATCAACTTCAAATGCCATGTATAGTATCTTGTAGAGACAAGGTCACCTAATGGTGCGTTACGTTCTGTTTGTTTTAACATTGGTCACATGATAAAACTGTACCAGCCCATTCTTTCAAAGTGCTGTTACTCTGACATTACATCACTCTTTTGTAAACACTTGCTATGTCACAATAAACTGCTCTTGAAGATTGTTATGTATTTTCTTGTTACGTAATGATCATATATGAACACTGAATTTGTGACACGGTGAATCATGAAGAGGTCACTTTTTAAAAAAAAGATTTAACACAATTAAGATTTAAAAAGCATAAATGTGATTAATTGCATGGAATTTGCTGTTATATGTGCTCATACGTTTCTAGCATCCCATTCTAACAGTGTTTTTTAAGAGCTAAATAATTATGACTCACATGGAGTTTTTTATTGTGCGACAAAGACTTATATCCATTTACTTTAATCTTTTTTTAAATGTTTTAATAAGTATAAGTTTGAGGAACTGGGCTATCATTTTACACATTAATACAGAAAAATGTAGTTTAGATATGATTGATCAGATACATTTCATAAATCTCCACTGGTGATAGAAGTAAAAGTCTTGTTCATGTAGAAATATGTAAGTATTATCTGAAACAAAGCATCAAAACAACGACAACAAAAAGGGACATTTTATTATGTTGGAATATCACCATGCATTGATGTGTAAAAATCAGTCTAATGTTTCAGTGAGTCAAGATCAAGCTATTTTTTTAAATTTATTTTTTATCTATAGCTATGCGTACTAGTGTCATAAATGCACGTATTTTATGTGTGTTTTTTTATTATTATTATTTTGAAAGTGACCAGTGACTAACATTAACAAATTCAATATTGCATCATGAAAGTTTGAAGTTTCGAATTAAAAGTAGCGTTTGAACTAAATCTAAGTAGTTTTGCTGCACCATTATATTTAATACATTTATCATTATAGTTTTTGTCCTTGTTTTATTATTGTTGTAAAGCACTTTGTGATTTTGTGTCCATGAAAGGTGCTATTTAAATTAATTTTACTGACTTACCACTTGTCAAATGTACGGCTATAACATAAATTTACTTATTTTTTGACTGAAATAAATGCAACAAACTGATAAAGGTTAATTTTATATTTCATGGACAAGGAGATGTTTAGAAAATATAAAATGAAACCATCACTGCTCTCCTCCTCTGTTTCAATGAGTGTTGCTGTGATTGACAGGTGGATCGTCCAATAGCGGTCCGGCTTCAGCTTTCACTGTCAAAAAAGGGTGTGGATCGGTGACGATACAAAAATAGTAGCTTTGTAACATTTTATCGGTTTAAATCGTCTGTAACTGACAGCTCCTTTATCCAATCAAAGGCTTCCATGGGTCCTTATTTTGATTTATCAGCCAATGGGATTGAATGGAATTCCGAAGTAGGCGGGCCTACAACATCCCCTCCTTGCCAAGTAGTGCCGTTTGTGAGCTCCGGCAACAGATGGCGGCGCCTACATACAACACGGATCTGACAGGGTGGAGGCTCTGACGGGGAACCAGTTTCGAGAGTTGGTTCTCTCATGAGGAACCGGGAGAAGGGGTGGTCTGTGTGACTTCATTGATAATTTCTTGTCTACGGTGTGGGATTAATCGCTTTTTACCTTTGTTTTTTGGTGGAGGCCGCAAGAAGCCTCAGGCTAGATTTGACGACACACCGAGCCGAGTGCAGGAAGACATCTGTTGGATTGTTTGGAAAGTATCGTAAAATGTATTTGCCGGAATTTGACATTTTGAGGCTATAACGCATTTATTTATGTCGAGTCTGTTGTGTTTACATGATAGGAGAAAGTCGAATTAATGTGGAGTAGAGAAAAGTTAAGCACACAAGCTAACTAGTTAGCTAGCCTGCTAAAATGCTAGTTAGCTACCTAGCAGCGAAACTCTACCATGTTGAATGAATGAATGAATGGACTGAAGACTGCCTGCATTTAACTAACAACTGATTATTGTTGTTGCAAGACCGCGTCGGGTATTCAATAAGAGAACACTGATTTTCTACAACAAGCTGCGCCTTTCCGGCTACCTGTTCTGTTACACTACTTATCCACAAATGGACAGGAATGCAGTTCCTGGGAGTTGGTGGACAGCGGCGAATTAGCACGCAAAGATAGTGTTGTGCTTCCACTGACTATAGCCCGGTAATGTTTAAGAGGCTGGTGGACGCTAACTTTAGCTAGCTACAAATATTTGCACTACTCAGACTTGGCTGCAATAGTGTGAAGCTTACACCCGGTTTGGAATGGGGAATACGGTGTCATGCTGCGTCTCTCCCGAGTCGAGCCCCAAACTACCTTCGAGACAACCGGCAGAGCGGCTGGAGGAGTTCCAGACCAGCACCGAAGTGAGCGATGACAACACCGTGCCCTACCTGCAGCATATCAGCGACAGAGAGGTCCCTGATGGTAGGTGTTCACCTGATGCATAGCTTACTTGATGTTCCTTTCTAAAATTTGAACCATGAATCATCACAGTCATATTTGTTTATAGGGAGGTTCATCTTAATCCAGTCCCTGACATGGTGCAGAAAGATCTGCATGTGACTTCCAAACACACAACCTGACCAGGATGATACACAAAGTCAAGTCACTGATGTTTATTTAGTGCATGCAACACAACAGCCATTTAACCAAAGTGTTATTCAGAAGAGAAATGACACATAAACTCTACAGCATGTGTTTACCTCATGCATTTCTGTTAATTTGATATTTAAAATGTGCTTATAGCTTGTATGACACTAAACTTGCATATTTGTTACATACATCGGTATATAATTGAACCCCCCCCCCCAAAAAAAAAAAAAAAAAACTGGTTGAGACAGATAGCAGCCCCCCCAGAGCCGGGTCCTGCCAGAAGTTTCTTCTGGGTAAAGGTGAATTTGTACCTTTCAAAAAGCTTGCTCAAAAAAAATTTCTACATGGGAAATCCAACAAATACATAGATTCCATGTGAGCCAACACTTTGGCTTCAATGAAGAGGAAGAACTCATGACGAGGTCTCCAGTACAACCAGGCTCAGGGAGTGTGTCAATCTGCCTCGACCAGTTGTATTGAAGGCAAAGGGACAGACAACAAATAAGAGAATATAAACACTGGACAATGTGGCGGGAAAATGCAGCTGCAGAGCCAGACATACCTGCAGAGAGTCACAGGGCAAAGCACAAATTAAGGAGAGAGAAAAGACACAAATGTAATAGTATGTAATGGTGCATAAAACTACACCGAGGCAGTGACAACAATCATTTGATTATAAACTCGAGTATGAGCACAAGTGAAGACAACCATATGAACAGGATAGCTGAGGTAAAGCATAACCAAGACATATAAACTCTTATGTGCACACACACAACAGCTGACTTGTTTAAAGGACACTTTTGCTAATAAGGACTCACAAACAGGTTGAATCTTTGGCGTGACGACACTCAACAACTTGATAATTTAGTCTTTCACAACTGCAGGGAAAGTACGCAAACAGACACCCTCTTTGGCTACTGCCAAGTTGCCAGACGTGTTTATTGCCGTCCTGCTGCCAGCACTGCACTGATGATGAAGCCATTCTTGGCACTATTCAGTTAGCCCACTGCATCATATTGATCACACTAGCATCACATTACCAAGTTGGACATTAACAATGAAAACATCCCTCTCATCTTCTTGGCGCCACATTAACCACTTAGAAATTAGCAATAAAGCAAGCCCTTCATTGTTACAGTTAATTTTTATTTCTATGGCCTACAGATGAAACAGAAACACCACTTTAGTCAGAACAAACATGATTTATTTAATTTTTTTTAATCTTAATGCATCTGTAACATACTCCTCAGTGGCTGTGCCCACTGCTACAGAGTTAAAAGGTGCAACCTAAGTTTGGCCGTTGGGCCCCAACACCCCTCAGAGTTTTTCCTTTCCTTGCTCATGCTGTGATCACACGCTGTGATACAGGCCCTGGATCAGGAAAGCATCTCAGATATTTCTCTGTGATGTAGGCTCAAGCTCAGTTTTGTACAATCAGTCCTTGTGTCGCCACTCTTCATTGACTCCCAGACATGCACGGTGTTCATTCCATTCATGTTGTTGTGGACAGCATGTGTGTGAGTGCAGTTTGGCGAGACCAGCTGTTGACCGGGTGTGAGTTGAAATCGGTCCTTCTTGCATTCCTTGCTGTCGTCGCTTCACAAATGCTTCCATCACCTAATCCCCGATCTTTTATGTAATGTGCTGTCTGCTCGGATTTGGAGAAAGAACCCTTTTTTTTTCTTTCTTTTTTTTTAAGTAACACTGCTGCATAAACAAGTGCTTTCTTCTGTTTGTATTTCTTTTAGAGTTCTATTTTTATTGACCACAAACAGTCGGTCTGCTGTAGTAGCTATCAACAGTGTAAATTCTCCTACAGAAAGAAAACAGAATTTTTAAGTTGTAAATGTAGTTTGTGATAGTAAAAATCTTACTATATCACTTGATACCTAAATCTATATTTTGGACATTAGGCAGGTCAGTTTGTTCGTACTTTGAAGGCAACTTATCACTCAAGGATTGTAACATTGATAGAAAAATCATAAGCGCCTCTGGCAGATCTTCCCCTCTGCTTCTCGTGCTAATGCCAAGTAACTGCTGAAATGTTCGGTAAACTCAGAAACTAATTCAACAATTCCACTGCTGGTACTCTTGCAAATTGGATTTGAAGTGAAATGGCCATTAAAAGGGTAAATAATTTCAGCAGATTAATGAATAATGTAGAATTTGCACCTATTTGTACATACACACACACCAGAAAAGTTAGTATTGATTTGTTCTCAAGTCATGTTTGTCATCAAATCTCCAACCTTGTCAGGTTCGCTGATGTTTCTCTGCCACTTCTGTAGTGTGCTCACGTCCTTGCTTGTCTCTGGGGCTATGTTTGTGATATTGATTTATGCATATATCCAGGTCTCATGCATTATTTCTTAATGATGGATATTGATACCTTACACAATTACACTGGGTGCTTTTCAGTCTGTAGCTGGCTCACAGCTTCATATTCGCTCCTTTTGGATTTATCTCTACTGAGAAAAGAGAGCTGAGCAACTTTCAAGGTTCATTTATACACTTCTTTTGTTTTCTCAGAGCTGGCCTTAGAGTCGAACCCGTCGGACCATGCCCGAGCAAGTACCATCTTCCTTAGCAAGTCCCAGACAGACGGTGAGCAATCATAACATGACACATCACACAGCAGTGATTCACTTTAACTGTTTTCCTTAAGACCCTGGGAACCTTAAAGACATCTGCGAACATATGATGGGCTATTATAGGTGGGGTGTAATGTGAGTTCTGTACTAAATATTCATTCAGTTATTCTTTTTATTTTTTTTGGCGGGTAACTTTAATCATAAGGCCCTGCTTTTATTGTTATTGCACTCAGGGCAGTGTTGTTAAAATGTCCGTCACCTGCTTCACTGTAGAGCTTGTTTAAGTTTGGAGTGCATCACATGTCCTGAAGCCACAAGTGTCTCTAATAATCAAGTCAAGTAAGCAGGTCCTCAAGACTCTAAGATGCTTTAAATTAGCTGCCAGTCACCAAAACATTTAGTACTGATTGCATGTAGGGCGGTGTGTTTAACTGTGTGTCTTAAACTCTCAGCAAGCCCCGATTTTAGAATTACTGATTGTTTATTCTGTGTATTGTTGTTTTTGTTTTTTTGCTGTTTATGTGGGTGAAAATCACCACTTGTTAGCAAAATTAAGACTTACTGTCATGTAGAGATGGCTGTACAAACAAAAATGTGCTATAATGGATGCTATATTTCTGTCTTTGCCCCGATGTGACCATGTTAAAGGTATTATATGGCAGCAAGAGTTAAAAGCCTTAGCAAGCCTTAAATTTGATTTGACTTCAGAAACCTTGTGATTTTCGCTGCCTTTTGTTGAGCATTTGTCTTTCTTTGCAGTACGAGACAAGAGGAAAAGCAACCACATAAACCATATCAGTCATGTAAGTGTCAATATTTAAGTGTTAATTTTACATCTGTGAGTGAAAATGTAAAAAAAAAAAAAAAAAAAAAGTCCACGAAGCTGGTTTGTTTTTGATGGTGAATTAGATTCAAATTTGACCAGAACTCGGTCTGTAAAGGCGATACATTTTGTGTTTTAACAGACATAGTTGGAAATAGTAGTTGTTTGTATTTAACATCCTTTTATGTATCCGTAAAAGATGATACCAAATCTCTCACAAATAGTCAGTTGATGTTGGTGTGTACGACCCTTCAAACAACATTAGAGCTGGAAACACTAAAGCACTGTGTCAGAGCAGAAGAGTCTAGGTTCTACCAACAGTAGCTGTTTATAAGGACCATAATCTGTCAATGTTAGCACACCTAACTCAAATAAAAACAAGGCTAAAGCAGAAAACCTTGTTTATATGAGTAGCAAAGTTGATAACAAAATCAATTTCTTTGTTTTGCCTTTCTAGCAAAGGAAAAATAAAATACTTGACTCGGTTCAAACTGCAGTGACAGCAGCTGTTCGTCATGAAACTAGCCCTGCAAACATTTTGTGAAAATTTGAAATGTTCGCATCTGTTTACCGATCTGGAGCCACCCTGTAGAATCATAAAGATTACATCCTCTTCCCTTCATCAGTTCAATGTGTTAACTGATTCCAACATCTCCAGGTGTCTCCTGGTCCACTGTCAAAGAAATACAGCTCCTGTTCCACCATCTTCATAGATGATAGCACCGTCAGCCAGCCAAACCTCAAAAGCACAATCAAATGGTGAGAATTTTATCTTGTACACACACACACACACACACAGGAACACAAACACACAACGCAGTGTTGTCCGAAAGTCACTCGTTTCAAGTCAGGAAATCCTGTTACATCACAACATGGTAATCCTAAAGTAATACTCAACGGATGCGTGACTGAAACAGATGTTCTTACACCTCATCTGGGACTGTAATCTGTAATGATATTATTTTAGTGAATCTGGATAATCACTTTTGATCAGGATTATCTTAGAGTCTATAAATTAAATCTTCCTCCTGAATGTGTCAAATGTTTTATCACACCACAAGCTTTGATACACACACACACACACACACACACACACACACACACACACACACATTCTACTAGCCTCCCATTGAGATTGTTTTTGTTGTAGTAAAAACTAATCTAATCCAATTTTTCAACTCTCTTTCTCTAGTGTCACTTTAGCAATATACTACCACATAAAAAACAGGTAGGTGATTCTTTGATTTGATCATTATGTCACTTTTGGCACATTAGGTTGCTTAAACAAGTATCCATGTGAAGTATATTGACAGATATATTGTTTGTTCTTTAGGGACTCAGACAGATCACTGGATATCTTTGATGAGAAGTTGCACCCTTTATCAGTGAGTATGGTTTCCTTTTTCATTTAAAAAATCAACTGGTGAACAGCAAATTAGTTTGTACACTTTTTAAAATCCTACAAATCAGAACAAAACATAGCTGGACCAACAAATCAGAAGGACGGTAAAGGTGGAAAACTAAACCCCAACATTCTGTACGTAACAGAGAACAAGAGGTGTTAGAGTAACTTTCTTTTTTAAACCTGAAATCTTTTCTATGTGGTTTAGTAAATTTAATCCTTCCATTCCAACATTTATCAAGTATAGCTGTCCTGAGTCTCAAAGCAAATTTTTTTTTTTCCATTACAGAACTATCATGCACCACATTATCGTAGGTTGTGCTTGACTCACCCATTTTTTGTGTTTCTTGCTGATGACTATCATTATTTCAAGCATGTGTGTTTTAGGGAAGCCAAGGATCTATGGCAGCATTTTGTCCAACTGCAAGACTTAAAAACAAATGTCAATCTTGATTTTGAAAATGTTTTGCAGTCCAGTAGTTGGAAATCCCAGAGAATTCCCAGAGTAACGGTTTGCTCTTAGTCCCACGACCTCTCCACCACTTTGCCTGCCCTTCCCTGGACTGTGTAACTGCTGGTGTTGTAAAGTCTCTGAGCATTTTTTTTACCAGTTAAACTCTCTACAAGAAAGCACGTTTAAATTCATTGCTTATTGTTAAAATTTTCTTCTTTCCAGCTGTAAAAATCTAAACAGTCGAAGTGTTTTTGCTAGATAGTGCCAGGTTCAGACTGCAGGAGTTATTGGCTCACTGATCCCAACAATTGGAAGAGAAATCACGTCTGGGATCTTGGTCTGAACTGATGTTTTGGCCAGAATGTTTAATAATGCAAGTGGTTTACAGATCCAGTCTTAAGTCTCCCAAACTGCTCGCAGACTCATCTGACGCCTTTAACTTCAGAATCAAACTGGTTTCATATTTAGGAGGTAAAGTCTGTGAGGTATCACACGGCTGCACATGTCGGTTCTAAACATTCAGCCCTTGAGGCTAATGTTAGCCATGGATTTCAAAACTGACGGTTACAATCTCACCTCCAGTTCTCAGTAAAGAATAGACAAACTATGTTAACCACATTTTCTTATCCAGAATTATTTTAGCCTCATGCTTTTTGTTTTTTTTCCTCACTGAGTGACTTGTGAATTTTGCCTTTTCTTCAATGGAAGGGTATGTATAAATCTTAGGACGACTGTATCTTTACAGTTTGGCCTTATGTGTGTGAAGCAACCCAATTTAAACATTTGTCAGGATGTTAGAAATTGTGTAATCTGAGCCCGGCATTTGCAAAATTGTTTTTCCAAGAAGAAGTTCAAATAAGTGTTGAAGCATTCATTTTTTGGCATTTGCATCCAGCCTGTTAGTTATAAACCCTGGATCGTAGGCCGCCCAGCAGATCCTTGTGCCTGAAAGACTTCACTTCTTTAAAGCAGTTCTTAAGTGAAAGGTCTAACTGTAGTTTGGGTTTTTCCCCATGTGATGTTTTAGTTCATTCTCTCCAATAGTAGCCTGTAGAAAGACCTTGATCCTCTACAATAAGTATGTCAATTAAATTTCCTCCAGCTGTAATGGTGACAGTTTTGTCAGGAAGTCTCATCATCTGGTATGTAACAGTAAAATAGAAAGTTCCTCCTTCAAGACAGTAGTTTGGATTCATCAAGTGTCTATTCAAACAGTCGGTCTGAGAAACCTCAAGTTGTTCCTGCAATGTACATGCAGCATATAAATGCAAATTTTCATTCTTTTTCTTTCTTTTCTTTTTTTTTTTTGTCGTTATCAATCACTTCTTTGCAGACTGATTGCACATCCATGTGATCCATGTGGTGTCTCAGTAAAAACACTGTGCTGTGTGTTGTAACAGTTGAACCTCCTCTTCTTCCTCCTGTAGTCAATAATAGTGGTGTGATTCACTGGTTTAAAAAAAGATACAAGGAGGAGGAAAAAGTCTGCCTCATTCTCTCTTGTGGTCTGTATTAACGGATTCCATTCAGCTGTAGACTTGTGACAAAATGCCGTAAGTGGTTCTCACTCCACACTGAAACTGCCCACCCTCACAGCTTCAAGTGCCGTTACACGCTGGAGATGACATGAAGATTTGGGACAAAGCCAATATCAGCGTTGACCGCATCAGAAAGGCCTTTTAAAAAGTAGTGGGTAATCTGGCCCTATGTGTTAATGCAACGCTTGATTACATGCTACTCTCATCTCACTCCTATTTTGCAGCCAGCTTAGTGGAAAATGAATGCACTGTTAGATGTGGTTTGTTTTCCAGATCTTGCATTATTACTGGAAGTGCATCTGACCAACAGCATCTTGTTTGTGATTCTTTTCCATGAAGGTTTTGCACATCAGGTTTGATGCATCTCCATAACAACTGAGGGTTTTCAGACGTTATCACTGCATCTTACTCGCCTCCCTCAGACGTTTGTGTATCCGTTTATCCCACACAGAGAGAGCCAGTGCCAGATGACTACTCCCATGTAGACCCAGAACACAAATTGATCTACCGCTTCGTCAGAACGCTCTTCAGTGCTGCACAGCTCACCGCAGAATGTGCCATCGTCACACTTGTAAGTGCTTGTTGTGATAACTGTATCGCATTCACAACTGCAACTGTACGCCATTGTTTTTGTATAGTTCATATCTGTATAGTTTAAGTCTGAGAACATGATTTACCTCTTCTATATGGTATAAAATAATCCAATTTTGTTAAGAATGCTATCTCAGTCGGATTGCACTTGTAGGAATACATGTCTTGAATATTACCTGAATAGCCCTAATATCTCACCACCATTATTACTAAAGTTAAAGTGCACAGTGGCTTTATAAAACATAAACGGACTTATTTGCTGATGCTGTTAAACACTGTTTCTTTAACTGGCCACCAGAGGGCAGTAAACTCATGTTAAATGACTTCTCCCAAATAACGCAAATGGTATCTGACTATTGAATGTCTGTATGATGATAAAACAACACAGACTCTGCATCAACTTGGTTTAAAAAACACTGAGGGCTAAACAAAGATGGATTCTTTATTAGATTAAAAACTGAGATTTTACAACACAGTAATCTCATAAGTAACATCCTTTTATGTGACATGACACAACAGCTTCAGCAGGTTTGCCTCAGGATGAGTTTTTTAAATATGCAGTGCAAAACAGTGTGTATTTCTCTGCACATGGATGTGCAATTTCTCTGTTTTTTTGTTTGTGTGTTTACTAGCTGAGTTGCAGGGGCAAAGCTAATCTTTTTTCAAAATGGCCCAATTATTAGCAATTATTTTTGCAGTTAGCAGCATGTGGGCTATTTTACTTGCGCTTGATTGTTCTGTTTCTGTTTGTAAGGAGTAACCAAAAATTTAAGGAAAATGCCAAAATATTGTCCACATCTGTCCATATTACAAGAATATAACACATAAAATAGTGCACCTTATAGTTTTATATAGGGAATTTGCTGGTGCAGATGCACACAACCAGACTGTTGTCCCTGATAGTATGTTAGGAACTGATAAAGGAACTATTGAAGATTGAGCTGCCAAAACCGTGTCAGTTCAGTTAAAAACTGACCTTTCAAACATTCTCCTTCAAGGTGTACTTGGAGCGCCTGCTGACCTACGCTGAGCTGGATATCTGTCCCTCCAACTGGAAGCGCATCGTCCTGGGAGCCATCTTGTTGGCCTCCAAAGTGTGGGACGACCAGGCCGTGTGGAACGTCGACTACTGCCAGATCCTCAAAGACATCACTGTGGAGGACATGTGAGTGGGACAAAGATGCACTGTAACACGAGAATGATGGGGAAAGACACAGAATCAGGGCATTAAATCAATCAAACCCAGTCAGTGTTTGTGGAGGGAGGTCATTGGGAACCACTTTAGTGCTATGTTTTGAAAAAATATTAAATTATACACACTTAAATTGTTTCTTATTCATTTATTTCAGATTTAAGCTTTGAATGTGGTATGTCTTTTTAGAGTCATTGTAATATGTTTGATATTAAATTATATGTTATATTTACCATATAAATAAATGTTTAAAATGTATGGACCTTTGAAATCTTTACTAAGTTTGACAAACTTTACAAAAACAAAAGAAGAAAAAGAGGTTAATGTGTTTAACAGAACATCTATGCAAAGTTGAATCTTGTGTGAGGAGCCAGAATAAGAGCAATTCAGTGGAAGAAGAGACTACACCTGTATCAGGGAAATACTGTCTTCTCTCTGCTGGAGGAAAAGTGGTCCTGATTAGATGAAATCTTTCTCGCTGCTGACTCAGGAACCAAACAGAGTTCAACAATAACCGTCCTCTGATTCTGCAGTGTTGGTGGTGTTTTGCAGCTTTGTGTGAAGCAATTCAGATGACAGCTCGGGCCAGAGGCCACTCAATCAATACTAGTTTATACGAAGCAACACTTGAAGCTAAGGTGAAATGCCAAATGTCACACAGACAGGAGGGGGACATGATATTGATTTGATACGGGGGGAAATGATGCACATTTTCAGAAGGTCACTCCTGGACCATATCCACAGTCCTGCACTTGGATGTTCATTTGAAAAAGTGACAAATTGTTAGATGAATAGCACACAGCTTGTCAGTCGTAGCACAAGGTTGGTGTGAAAGTAAGATAATCACTTTCAGAAAGCTATAGATATCAACACACCCCTAAATCAATGTCAAAAATGTGTGGGGTTATCGAGGTTTCGGACATTATTCAAGCGTCCAACAAGCAGCTCAGAAGGAGCCTAGCTCCCCCTTTGTCTCCCCCTTTGCATCCCCCTCTAAAACCGTGGCACAAAGCTGATCCTCCTCTTTGGGTTTGCTGCTCCCACTTACCAGTCTTGTCCTAATTACCGTAGGGTCTTATGAGACTGTAGAAGTGGATGTAGTGAACCAAAGAAAACCTTGTTTAAATGAAACTGTACATTTTCAACAGACTGGTTACCTGCGCATCATCTCTAGAATAACTAAACCAGCCACAGTGCACTGGGTCAATTCTACTACTAGCCTAGTTAGCCTAAATTAGCATAAAATGTTAGTATTTGCAACATGTTAATCATTATCATTTATTTTGTACTGAAATGAAAACAAAAGACTGAGAGCAGACTACTAAGCACCTGCTCATTGTCATATGTATATCTGTAATCTAGACAAGCTTGTGATCCCAGTTCAAGAACCATTGAGGAACAGAATGAAAATTTGTTAGCCTTCTGTTTCTAGATGATACTCCTTGTTGGTTGTTGGGCTGTGTGAAGTTTATTGGCCTTCTATTCAAACAAAATGCAGCCACACTAATCACTTATTTAAAATGGAGTCAGTGTGAAGCTGATTCTGAGTTTAGAAAATGTAAATACTTCAGACCTAGCAGTTCCCATTAGGTTGGCTGAGTTCAAAGTTGTGTCATCATCGGTGTGTTCACAGGTAATCTCTCTTCCTTCTGCTGCCACAGATAAGGGAATAATCCAAGAAGACTACTGATGTAGCACTTTTTTTTCTTATTAAAGTAACACAGTTTGATCAGATTACAGCATATCGACCTGAACTCTACATTTTTCCATGCTGAAATAAATGCATTGTGCCAACTGTTTGGGTTTATGCTGAGAGGAGTCTGTAAAGAGTTAAGATACGTATTGTTGGCATGTCCAGGTGGGAGAAAGTTCTAGGGAAGTCCTAGAAGATGGTGGTGCATTTAAATGTTCTACTTGGCCTGGAAAAACGTTGGGATCCTCAAGGAAGTGAAGGAGAATGTGTACAAAAAGGAGGTCATCCAGACTTGCTGCCACCAAGACCCAGACCCAAATTGCTATAATTCAATACACAGTGGATTAGGAGCTTGTTTCTGAATCATTGTTAGGCTATTTAATTCTGAAAAAAAATCATTCTGATCCTTAATTGTGTTTCTGAGATGTTCTGCATGAGGTTCTTGTGTGTGTTTGAGTTTTTGGCCGCCAGATAGTTTGGCTGCCTGAAAAGAAGGTCCCTAACAAATACAACAGGGTTCTAGCTCTACAAGCTTTGCCCTCATAATAAAAGGAATATAACAACAAAGATGCACTTAAAGCAGACCGAGGAAGTGCTGGGATAGATGGAAGCCACAGCATCTCTGCTGCCTCTCAGGCTATAAGCCAGTGAAGAGGCCAGAGGCTGCACTTGGAGGACCCAGGCTTTATTTCCTGCAATTGCTTTTCTCGTGTCTGTGTGTGTGTCTGTGTGTAAAAGAGGTTGAAAGTGCCTTCTTGTTTTTTGTGATTTAGAAAGATGCGTGTATCGCCTGCATGTGTGCTCTCTATCTGTGAACCCCCATCCCGCTCTCTTTCCTCTCGTATACATCTGACCTACACTCTGTCTGCTCGGTTTTCATTGCTGCTATTGAAGTGTCTTTGTGAGCCCGGTCGGGTCTGGATGGAGGGATGGGAAGAAGAGTAGAGAGAGAGAGGGAGAGAGAAATGGAGGGGAAGGTCTCAAGTGCTCTCACTGCTTCTACATAATGGCCCTAGCTCTCGCCCGCTCCATTAGTTGCCCCGGGAGACCAGACATCACACACACTCACTCTCACCACCTCTGCTGACCAACAAAGCATCCTGGATGCTGTCTCCTTGGCGACCACCTTCCTTTAGATTTTCTCGTGACTGTGATGATGATGATGAGGAAGGATGATGGAGGTTGTAGTCTGGAAAAAGATGAGCTGTGATCCTCAAAATAAGTGCTTGGAAATGCACGTCTGATTACCCGTGTGTGTGTGTGATCTCTATGGAAGAGATTAGTTTCCATCTCCACACACACTTCCTGCGTTGAAGTTTTTGTCAATACACAAGTAACTCATGTACGAGTTTGTAATTTATCTTCTTTTCCAGATACTGACTATTACAGTGTGACTGTTTCTTTGGTCGCATTCGGTCTCCTTCTCAGCTGTAAAGATGTTTTTTTCTTTTTAGTCTTTGAAGAATAAAAACATCCTCTATTGAGTAGGCGTTTCCTCTCAGTGTTCCTGTGCCTGATCAAAATTCATACGCAGGCCTTCATGTCCCTTTTTATCAGAGTTGTGAGGTGCGAACAACACAGTCAGCTTTGTCCTCTGTCAACGTGGTGCAGTTTTAATTTAATTATGTCCTGTCAAGATTGCTTTTCTTTTCGCATTGTTTGTGTACAGTGGCTTTTTCAAAGACAACATAGGATTTTGCATGATATTTTTTAATGTTTTATCTACTTTTTTATAAATGTATACAGGAAAGCTTCTTTTTTTTTAATGGCCATTACAGGCTGAGATTTTCTGCAGGATTCACATTTGAAATTAATTTTTTGTAGTTCTTGTCAATGTGACAACCAGATGAATCTGGGAGCTTTTGTTTAATTTTCTGCTTGTGGCTCCCGCTGACTAAACAGAGGAGCACAACGGAGGTGCTTTTGCACATTTTTTCTTTGCTCTAATTGGTTGTAGGTTTATCCAATTGTGTCGAGAGGTGTTTTTTTTGTTTTTTTTCTGCGCCAGTTGATAATGTCTCGTAGAAATCAAAAATGAACTGTGAGGTTCCCGACTAACTTTGTCTGGCAATACTAAGCTAGTTGTCAGTAGCAAAGGGTAAGCTGAAAGGCAAGAAATGGTTTGCTTGGACAGCCTTATACGTCTGTTGAACTTGTCCATGCTTCTGTTTTGTTGCCTTCTTAGATGTCTGTAGCTTCAGTTCTCTGTTGCTCTGAATACAGTTTACTTTATAACTTATAACTGATGTATTGAGACTCTGATCCAGATTAACCCTGAGCTGTCTCCCTACACTCCAGGAATGAGATGGAGCGCCACTTTCTAGAACTTCTCCAGTTCAACATCAACGTGCCCGCCAGTGTCTACGCCAAGTACTACTTCGACCTGCGGCAGCTGGCCGATGACAACAACCTAAGCTTCCCTCTGGAACCCCTCAACAACCAGCGAGCCCAGAAACTAGAGGTGAGCTGCCGTTCCAAGATGACAAAATGACAGTCATGGTCCTGTTATATCAACATTGTTTCACAAATATTATGTTTCTATGCAACTAAGCTGCATTTTCATGTGGGCTTTATAAGAAACCTAATTTTGTTTTAAAGCAAATGTATGTTCTCACAGAAAGATAAGACTGTGATGTAGTAGGAAAGACTTACAGTTTGAAAGAGTCACAAGGTTGGCATTAGGAAGTAGGACGGGAGGATGGTAGCACAAGTCAGCAACAGAACTTTAACCCAGGAGACCAGCGCTCATGTCCCATGTGGAACCATTCTTCTAAGAATTAAGTTTTGCTTTTAATTGTTCTTTACTTTTAGTTTTCACTTGCTGTTTGGTTAAGTTTAGACACCAAAACTACATGGTTAGATTTGAAAATAGTATGGTTAGGGATATGCAGATTTGAAACATATTTGTGATAGCCACAAATAAACATAATCCAGCAGAAAATACAGTCCATCTCAGAACTTAACTAAACAGTGCAGTTCTGTTGTTTAGAAACATTTTTTTTGGTAGATGAAGCAGGTTTTATTTATGTCTCTGCTCTGCAGCAAACATGCTGCACTTGAGCTGTACAGGGTCTTACCTCAGATTAGAAGTTGTCTTGATGGTGGCTGCAGCAAGTTCTCAAGCGAAAAGAAAATATCTGTTTATTTTAGCAGCTGTTTTTGTTGATTCAAGGTTTAAAAGGAACTTTATGCTGTTCATTGTGAGGAAATAAACACGTTACTAACAATTGAAATTGTAATAACACCATAAATTAATTCTTATTTTGATAAAATAAACACCAAGCTACTTTGTGTGGCTTCTCTGCTCTGGAACTCTACATTAATGTGCAGTGAGAATTGATGCATCATTCCTTTATCCATGCTGACTTCTTGAATGCAACCACCCCAGAATAAAGCATAATTTTGTGTTCACTTACTCTGTGGCTTGTCAGTAACTATATTTGTATGCTTGTTGCTTCAGGCCATTTCAAGACTATGTGAAGATAAGTACAAGGACCTGAATCGCGCTGCGATGAGGCGATCCTTCAGTGCAGACAACCTGATAGGTATACGACGCTCCAATGCTGTGCTGTCATAGACCAGACTGCTGCCCTCATATTTCCAAAGCCCAGCTAACCCACAGCCAGCCCCGGACAAACATGGCCAGCTCGCCGAGTCGCCATCACCTCAGCAACATCAGGCAGGTCTGAGGCTTTAAACGCCGCTGACTGACCTGTCCAAACGGTAAATTATATTGCAGTTGTAGGGGTGCGTGATTGTTGAGTTAAACTTGAAATCCAGGTGTTTACCTAAATGAGAAAACTTTACCACACAGCTATTGTTTTTACAAATCCCATATTTATTGTTTACCTGTCCCTCATTTCGAAGAGAAAGTGTTGAATAGGAATGACTCAATTGATCAATGTGGAGTAGACACCTGCAAAAATGTTTGAATTACTTTATGCAGACTTAAAGGCCAAGCTGGGGGTGTTTTATGTTTTTGTTAATGTCACCAAATCCCATGAAAAGACCAAACATGTTATTGGGACTCTGACGTCTCAACTCAGACTGCAGCTCCCTGGTTTCTTCTGAAGATTTGTGAAGCAACAGCAGAGATCTGGAATACGATAGATCAGTCTTTTAAATCACTGTTTGATCTTTTCCTGGGGTTCATTAACAATATTAAAAATATGAACAGATTTCTCCTTTCATATAGGCAGAACAGATATAAAATGTCTTTCTTGTATATTAGTTATTCCCAAAAGTTGCATTGGAAAGTGTAAGTCAGACTTGTTTACTGTTAATACCAATGGTGTTTTATTATGTCTGAGTAAATTTTCTACCCATGTGGACCGATCATACAGCATGTCTCATATTACAAGGTATTGAGCTATTATTCCTCTACAGAAGTGGGCTGAAGTAAGAAAACCTTCAGCTCGCTCTTGTCTGTCAAGAAATCAGGAGTGCCAATTGCGATTGGTGTCACGTTCTAGTTTCAAATCAGGACGGTTTACTGACAACGGATCAGTACTGCTACTGAGGGCTCCGATAGAACGGTTAAGTGGGGTTCCACACAGTCCAGCCTCAGTATTGTGCCCCTCAAATCCTGCCATCCTGACCTCGCCTCTACGAACCTACCAACAGATTACTGATCTTGTGTTTGTCCAAGGCCCCGAACACCCCGAGTTTTCAAACACACTACATAGATACTGAGGGGGGAAAAAGAGATGAATGGGCACTCCCCTCCTTTTTGCTTACTATGTAGGCTACTAGCTGTGAAATTTGTCTTGTTTTTAAATTGAAAAGAAAAAAAAAACATTTGCAGATGGAGTATTTTAAATAAACACTAATCATGTAACAAAGATACGTTGTGGCTTCTGTGTTTTGTGTCAAATGCCGGTGTGACTTCAGATGATCAAGTCAGTTCCACGAGATGTGAGTTGTTGTGGATATTAAACCGATCTGACCAGAGAACTGAACTACAAAGAACGAAAAATGGGTTATCAAGATATATTTAGCTTAAAGTCGGGTTCAGCGTCACAAAGGTGGCTCTCTTTTAACCTGCTATATCACCATGGTAACTGATGCTGAACGGCTAATCTGCTCCGGAGAAGAGTTTCAGATTTGAAGAAGTGTCTCCCTTTTACAAATTCTTTTCCTGGTGATTCTCTGAGTGATACCGATTCTCAGCTGAGGGAATACATTCTAACTGCATATTAGTAATCCCACTGAACAAAACCATGCAGCTACTGCAGGCTAGCTGTATGCAAGGAGTTGCCGTTAGAGCCTATGTGCATTCAGCTGGTGGTGTAGACAATGCATACATAAGGTTTTAATGTTTGCTCCTATCTTTGGGCTATTTTACACTGCAGCTAAGAGAACAGAACAGAAAATTGATTAGTCAAGTGGTATTTATCACAAACATTTCAATTAATAACATTATTTTCACTTTGATTTGGCCAAAACTGAAATTATTTCTGCATTTTCTTTATTATGAGATGAAATGCACTTCTTGAATATCATTTTCGAATAAATTATTTTTAAAGTGTCAGAGCTCTAATGTAGAACGATCACTTTATAAATAAGCAGCTGCATTGAGAGTCCACTGAGGGATAAAATACATAAATTAACTTGGACTATTAACTGTTTTCTAACATTCCTCTAATAACAGCAATAACAGCACTTTTTGCTGCAACATATTTGTTTTTAGTTTTTTTTTTTTTATTGTTATTGAAAGCTCTCCATTATAACAGCCTGGTTCTCTTGAGTCAAGTGATGCCTCAAATGACTCTTTTTATGGGACCATGGTCAGAACCTGGGGAAGAAAACCTGGTTTAGCACAGAAAGTTGTGAAGGCCGTCGTGAGACTCATTATTTTCCGATTGGGGTTTTAGGTTTTGTTAAACCAGCTAACATCGAAGGGAGTTTCTAGCAGTGTTATATTCTTTTATCTGCAACAAAATACATTTCTTTAATATGGTAAATACCAAGATCTACTAGTTCAGCATGAGACCAGATAGATCTGAATGTCTTACTACCTCGGCTAAATAGTTTTCCAGGGAGAAATCCTGACTTGTAGGTATCAGCCTTATTGACGAGCATATGGTGTCTTCTGTAAGTCAAAATGGTGCTTACATTATTGAAGCTTATCTCTAATTGTAAAGGAACCAGACTCCCTCAAACTGTTGTTCACTTATTAACCTATCAGTCGCTTATTTTGCAATGTTTTGGTCTTTACACTCCTTATATTTACTTTTATGAACATGTCATATAAACAGCATGGCATAAGTACAGTCAAATACAGTATGAGTGTAAATTCTCATATTTATCAGTTAAATTTATTTGCTCTTGTACAAAATAACTCAAATATAACCAAATCCATACTGAGTTCAAGATTGAGGGATTGTACAGCATGGATGTATGATTGTTTTTGAAGTATATGTAAACTGTGCTGCTAATGTAGAAATATAAGTGAGCAAAATAGTTCTTGAATCAATCAACAGTTGCACTCTGAGATTAATGAGAAGAGTTTTCTCCATAATAATGTTGACAATATGTACTGTTAACAATATTAGTTTAACTGTCAGAGCCTATGCCATACTGTTTGTACTGTGGTCTCTCTGTTTAACATCCTTAAGTTTGTAATGCATACATGTATATAGGATGTGCTAAACCAATGAGCAGCTGTTAGTGAATGAAAGAGGAATGAATGAATGTCTTGTCATATTTTCTTCGGGTTTACCGAGTGACATTCTGTCAGATTGCAGTTTAAAGGAGGATGATGGTGTCCAGACAGCAGCAATACATTAATGGAAAATAGGACCTGCAAGAAGAAGGTAAGACTTGTTGGCAAATAAGAAGAATAAGAAGAAGTTTTCAGTGCACCTTAATACCTTAGAGCCTTTTGTAGAGAGAAGTTTGTATTTTATTTCATTGTCATATTTAGGTCACTAAATAGTTACCCTTCTACTACGTAGTGATTATAACTAAAGGTTAGTTTGCAAGTTTTCCCCACACATTCAACTTTTAAATCAAACCAGTATTATTTTATTATAGGTAACATTTAAATGTAAGTCCGATATAAAGACAAGTTTATGCAAAAACCAGCATTCAATGTCTTCGTGGGCTGTTACGTGCTGCCAGAACAGCTTCAGTGCACCTTAGTATTGATTCTGCAAGTCTGTGGAACTCCACTGGAGGATCAACATTATTCTTCCAAAAGATAATTAGTCATTTGATGTTCAGCTTGAATTTGTCACCTGTCTGTACATAAACAGACTGTGAGGAACATCCTTATTTTTGTGTAATTTAACTATTGGAAAAACAAAAGAAGCTAGAATTACCACCTTACAGTTCTGTGCCTCCTTGAATCAGTGAAGTTGCAGTTTACATCTATGCTGGTCCAGACTCATAGCGAAGACTTTGAAATGTAGGTGGGTTAGTTTCACTAAATCGGTAAGAGACCAAATGGGAAGTATGGTCACAATCTCTATTTCTGCTTGTGTTATGGTATTGAATAATGGCCAGAAAAGTGTTTCTGCAGAATATTATTGGTGTCTCAACGAAAATGACTTCAATCTTGTGGATATAAAATATTACCAGATTTTCATTTTACCCTGATAGGTATTTGTGTGAAATCCTGTCACAATTAGTGCATTTAAGAAGCTGTAGTTAAGAAGTCACAGTGATCTTTGACCACCAGAATCTAAGTGGTTAATTGTCAAGTCCAAGAGGACATTTGTGCCAAATTTGAAGACATTTCTTCAAGATGTTCAAGTAATGTTGCCTCCACAAGAATGGGACTGACTGATGGTTGAACAAAAAAACAAAACGTTGTCGTCTAATGTCGAGAAACGTCACTATAAGAAGATATTGACACAGACGTAAAAGAAACCAAGCTCAAGAACCATTCAGTTTTAATTCCACAATATGAATCAAAATCTACATTTTTTTTTTAACATCCTTTGAGGACGTCTATCGATGTGAAAGCAGATCTACACAAATTAACCTAAATGTCAGTTTTTCTCAACACTTTTTGGAATTCACCATCAGTCACACAGTCACATTCACTCACTCACATCAGACTAATAAATTAGAAATATCATCTCGCATGTGGACGCACAGCAGACTAAAAAACACAACGGGCTGACGACACTGAATGAAAAGATCAGCAAACATCACAGGAGGGAGGCAGGAAGCAGAAAACAATGAGTCTGATTGAGCTTTAGATTTACAATAGCTCATTAATTTATGACACCAATCCTGTCTTGTATTAGTGTGTCTGTTTGCACCAGTACTGCTTTTGTTTATTTTGCTATCTTCCATTTAATTTCAGGTTAATTTACACACATATACTCCCAACACAAACACTGACCTCTGTAAAAAGAAGGAAGTCTATGAGTTTTAGTTGTCAGGCCTCTAAAAACAGCAGATCCACATTCGACCACAGACCCTGAAGAGATTTGTTGGTACAAATCTGTACATGGTTGTATAGATTTTCAAACAATGTGAGTATAGTCAATTGTAACGGAAGCACAGTCTTTCAAAAGTTCATCAAATGGAAGAATTAACATCAAACGAAAGAACTTGTCTTTGCCACAAATTGCCAAAAAATAAGGACAATGTTTGAAATAGACTTTTCAAAATATTTTCCTTTTTTTGTCCAAACCACAAACGTATTGGTTTAAAAACCAAAAGAAAAACTAAAGCTTCATATTTAAGTAGCCAGAATCAGCAAATTTTTAGTTTCTTCTTGATAAATATGAAGTAATTATCGATGTTTTTATCTAATAATTACCAGAGCTATAAAGATTAGTCAAATTAATTGTCAACTATTAAATTAACAGCCAACTATTTTAATGATTGATTGATTGGTTTGAGTAGTTTTTGAAGGAAAAAGGCAGAATTCTTAGATTCCAGATTTTTTTAAATGTTACATTTTCTGGTTTCTTTATGACAGTGAACTGAATATCTTTGGATTATGGACATTTTAGAACGTCATCTTTTGGAAACACTGATCAACATTTTCCACCATTTTCTGATATTTTATAGATCAAACAACTAATCAGATAATTGTAAAAGAGAATCAACATACTGATTAAAAATGAGGGGAAGAAAATCATTAGCTGCAGCCCTACAAATTACTTGACTGAATATTCCAGCCATTATTCATTTGGTCTATAAAAAGTTAGAAAACAGTGGAAAACCCCATAGTGACAACTTTAAATCACCTGGTTTCAATACCGAACTAAAAAAAATTCAATCGTAGTTTAAAAAAAAAAAAAAAAAAACATCTAAATTACAAATTGTCACATTTGAGAAGCTGGAGGTTCTAATAGCTAACATTTCACTTTTAAAATTCTTGATTTAAAAAAAATTGTTGGTAGTTTGATTTTCTAATTGATTGACTGTTCTGGCATGAAATTTTTCAAAAAGCATGTGTCTCAAAGTAAGGTCCAGGGACCTCTAGAGGTCTTGGAAATGAAGTCAGGGAGTCAGCAGCAGAACTGTCAAAACTGAAACAATTTTTAAAAATTAGATTGCATTAGAATCACATTTCTATGTCACTGTGGCAGTATTTTGTAAGTGCTGTATTTTTAGGTCATTTTAGTTCACGTTAAGAGGGTCTGTGGTATAATGTTGATCTGTTGGGGTCCATGTTTGTGAACCTACAGTGAGCAGCTCCACTGTGAACCAGCAGATGGGGGTAAAGACCAAGCTCAGTTTGATCCTGCAGCTTTAACACATCTTTGCCGTGCATTAGTTCAAACAACAGGGACAAAACTTCTCTTTCCATACAGACTTTTGTGACATAACAGAGTTGAGAGTTCATCTAAGAACCCAATAGAAACACTGAAAAAATGAATTAAGTCTGCAGAACTCAACATATACATAATTTGTCAATACACTTTCAGTTTGTAATCATACAAAACTCACCACTCAAAAACACAACAGCACATTTATGCACAAGTTTGTAAAGTTCAAATCTGATTTGTTTCTCTGGTGTCTTACACTTAGCTTGTGGCGTTGGTTGGTTATAACCCAAACGTATCGCACATTATCTTTTTTTTACAATCATGTACAATATTTACATCAATAAATATGTTTTTCTCTCTCAGTGCTCAGAATAAGCAGATAGGAAGAAGCATGTGGGACTCCATTATGGATCCATTTAGCTCTGGAAAGATTGTTATCTCAGTGGATATCTGGTTTGGTCAACGGTTTCAGCTGTACTGTGAAGAAAAGCAGTTTACACCAAAGTCCACGTGTTGGACTTTGCTTTAGTTTACATTCAAATTACAGTTTGTTAAGTTTTTCCCTTTTTACTCTCCGAGTGTTTTGGTCCATCATGTCTGATATAGTCACAGGTTTTATGAGAGCTGTTATTTGTAGTAAAATGATGCACAAACACTCAGTCCCGATAGTTAATCACATTCAGTGTTTGGATGCTGGAGAGAGACTGTGTGAACTCTGTAAACTGTTTTCTCATATATGAGACGGGGCTGCTTTGTGGTAGATCCCTGATGTGAGCCCAGTTCCTGTGTGTCCAGTTAAAGCTGTACTGGCTTCACTGTACATGGAGGGCGGAGCAGTGGCTTTCTGTGGCCAGCAGGGGCAGCATCGAGCCACAAACCTCCTCCAGGACTCCAGGGTTTTTCCGGACCAAATCCAGACTCCTGAGGTGATGCCCACCACTAAGCACATGAAGTATTTGAGCATGAACACGGCATAGTCTGGGCCCAGGCCCAGACGTTGGCGCTCAGACGGGCAGGAACAGGCCAAGGCTCGCTCCCAGCTGGGCCGGTAGTGCTGCTCGTAGACAAGGCAGGCCACCACGATGGTGGCAGGGACGGTGTACAGCACCGTGAAGAGCCCGATGCGGATCATCAGCCGCTCTAGTTTGTCCGTCTTGGTGCCTCCTTGCTTGATGATGCTCCTGATGCGGAACAGAGAAACGAAGCCAGCAAGTAAGAAAAGTGAGCCAGTGAAGAGGTAAACCACCAGAGGTGCAAGTACAAATCCCCTCAGGTTCTCCAGACTCTGGTTCCCAACATAGCAGATGCCAGCAACAGGGTCTCCATCCACGGCGCTGAGAGCCAGAACCACAATAGTCTTGACACTTGGGATGAGCCAGGCAGCCAGATGAAAATACTGCGAGTATCCAGCGATGGCCTCGCTGCCCCACTTCATCCCTGCAGCTAGAAACCAGGTGAAGGACAACACCACCCACCAGATGGAGCTGGCCATGCCGAAGAAGTACACCAGCAAGAAGACGAGGGTACAGAGAGCCGGGCCGGTGGTGTCGTACAGGATGTGAAGCTGGTCGCCACCGATGCTGCTGGAACCACAAGCCACCCGCTCATGACCTGCCACCAGGCGGATGATGTACCCCAAAGAGACGAAGAGGTAGCAGGCAGCCAGGAAGATGATGGGCCTCTCCGGGTACTTGAAGCGCTCCATGTCGATGAGGAAGGTGGCCACAGTGGTCAGGGTGGAGATGAAGCACAACACCGACCAGAGTCCCACCCAGAAGCTGGTGAAGGCACGTTCGTCGGCAGAGAAGTCGGACTGGTGGCAGGGCTGGGCGCAGTTGAGTAGGGGGCCGGTCTGGACCCGGCCGTACAGAGGGTGGGACTCCCTCTTGATGGGAACAAGGGAGTCTTTGCAGCGACACTCCCTGTCGCACTGTGGAGGGCTGGGCGGTCTGGTCCTGCCTTTAGGGGTGGGCTTTGGGAATGGGGGCGCCAGGGTGGTGGTCTCGCTGCTGTTCTGGTCCATGCACAAGGTCTCGTCTCCCAGCTGGGGCAGCTCCTCGCAGCTCATTCTCTCAGGCCACTCGAAGCCGTACTGACTCATGAGAGGGGAGCAGCCACGTTTGGCCCGTTCACACACTGATCGGCAAGGCGGCAGCGGCTTCCTGTAGTCCGGCAGGCAGATGGGAGTGTACATGCTGCACAGGAAGAAGAGCAGGTCTGGGGAGCAGCGGATCCGGACCAGGGGCCAGAACTGGTGCACTTCCAGCCCCACTTCCTCCTGTGTGTCGTGGTTGAATTGATTGGGCATGTATGTGAGGTTGTAGCCGATGCCTCTGCACATGGGCACAGTTATGGGCTCACAAACCAGATCCTTGGAGGCTCCTGATGTGAGACCAGGACACCGGAAGAGCAGCAGCAGCATGAGGGGCCACATGTGTCCCACTGTAGATGCCATATATGAAATAATACTAAAAATCAGACTTTAGAGAATTAAAAAAAAAAGAAGAAAAATAATAATTAGATGGCACAGGAGCTTCTTTTAATTTGAGTTCATGTCTTGAATGGAAAACTTTCTCCTTTTGCTGGATAAATCAGAGTTTCATTCTGCACGTTCCAGCCTCCTACTAAATAAAACAACTTGAACTCCTGATGGGAAATCCAGTTACCTCCAGACTCCTTCCAGCGCTGTCAATCATTCACCAGGGCTCCCACAATCATTACGGAGAAAGTTCATCTCCGGCGGTCACGTTCCAATAAATTTAACGACCCTGTAACATTGTTACCAGCCCCGTTTCTTCCCGACGAGTCTCCAGAAAAAGTCGCATCATGAGAGTCACATTGGGGGAAAAGTCGGTGGAAGAGTGGAAGTTGTCCATGAAACCAGAGAGAAAAACCAAACACAAAAATCACCTTTAAAGTGAACAAGTATAAAAGTCGTGTCTTTGCGCACGGAGCAGCTTGGTGCGTAAAATCCACTTGTCTCCTGTCGGGTCTGTTTATTCCATCAGCAACTTGGAAACGTGATTTTCAAAGTTTCACAAGTTTCTTCTCTGTTGCTTCTGCTGGCAAACGAGACAAAACGCAATAATGAATAATCCTTCAGAGATGAAACTTGTCCCGGGTTGTCAGGTAGCCTGCGGTAGCGTGCGACAGCGGCGCGCACTGAGGGCGGAATAAAGTCCGTCTGGAGCTGCAGCACCTCCTCATCGCACCAAGGGCTGCTGCGTTCAGGTCTGTCGGAAATGTCAGGCATTCAACCAGGAGCAAACCTCTGAAACGAAACCGCCAGTGAAGTGAGAAAAAGAAAATCAGAACGATATCACTGTCCGCGTTTTATGCAAATACGGTTGCATCATTTGATTTATAATAACTGAGCTCACTGCAAATGTAAGCAAATCAACAGTTTTAAGAAGAGAATTGAAAAATCATAAATATGGCTGTGGCTTTTAGCCCCTTATCACCGACTAGAAGTTAAGTTATATGTACAAAGCAAAACAATACATTAGAACTACAAATAAAGATAGGATGGAGAGGAAAAATAAGGTGTAGTGCCAAATTTGAAAGGACAGACTAAATAAATGTAGACAAAGAAGGCTGTTAGTACAGTTAAATTAATGCACTTTGGTTTCTTTACTACAATTGTGACTGCAGACAGCTCTCCTCTAGTATAAGGACAACTCTGAGGTGCTATTAATATCCATATGTTGTGTCTTTGTGCAGATTTGACAACAACTGCAACAATTAATTCATTACTTGTCAACTTTTAATTTAATCGGCAGCTATCTTGTTAAATAATTAATAGGTTTGTGTATGTTTTCTGAGAAAAAAAAATCTGAATTCTCTGATTCCAGATTCTTATATCTGAACTTTTTTTTGGTTTACATTCTCCTGGGTTCTGGGTAACACTGATCGACATGTGTTACCTTTTCCTGACATTTTGTTGGCTGAGCAACTGATCGAATCATTAATCATGAATTGGAGAAAATCATTCGTTGCAGTCACAGTATTGACAGTTTGTCTTGATACGTGACTTCAACAAATGATCCATTGTGAGACCATTAATTTGTAATTTTCTGTAAAGTAACCAACTGGTTAATCAACCACTTACTGTAATACTAGTTTTTAACAGAATGCAGTTAAAATTTGTTCCATTAAAATACTGTGTGCAGGTTAATGCATCCCCAGTAATAATTCTCTATCAGCTTTTAATAGAATCATGTATAAAAGAACATGTCGCTCTTCTTCATGATACCTGTTTGAGTCTGTTAATGCATTTTGCTGTTAAATAACTTAATGCTGTGGTGTTTTTTTCTGCTTTTACTAAGTAAACTTTGAATTTCAGTCCAACTTTTGGTCTCCAGTATAATCCTAAAAGCTCTTGCTACTAATCTGGATTTGGTATTTATAAATGTACTTTGTGCAGAACCCACACAGGTTGAACTCGCTGAGGGTTTGTTTTTTTTTTTGTTTCCTCATTCTGCAGCTCAGTGAAGCCTGATGATTAAAAGCATGAAGCCGCTGTTGACACACAGTCCACGTTTGCGTTGTCCTCAATATTCCAGCAGCACCCGAACGCACCACTGAGTGTATTTATGACTTCCTGCATGAGGAGGTAGGAGTTCACCAAACTGAAGGTATCAGATGATGGATGACTTCTCTCCACCCATTGACACCTCCAGCAGTAGACCACACACACAAAACAAAGGAGTGTTTTGATAGAGTTGTTTTAAATCCTGTGCAGAATTTTAATAACTACAGAATTCATACTATTTTTCTTCTTTAAAAAAGAATACTTGCTGTATATTAAAGTTTTGGAACATTTCAGATTTTGTGACTATAATTTGCTCATTATTTCATTTTTCTGATTCTAACATTGCTCTAACACTTTTCCCTTTCTCCGATACGTCTATTTTATGTGACGTATTAGTTCTGTCTTCACTCTGAACTCGGTCTTATCTCACACCCAGGAGAACCGATTCAAAGTTTTATCTGTAATCTGGTTGTTGCTCAAGTGTATTAATGAAATATTAACATGCACTTTGTTCACACACACATACACACACACACACACACACACACACACACACAGTCAGTTTCCTTTGCTTACACTGAACTTCTCATTAAATGCTAATGATTAGCCTTTTATTTACAGCCTGCTCACTGTATTTCAGTTGCCATGGTAGAGCATCACAGTTCGTCATCAGCTTTACCTTCCTCTGTCAGATCCTTGGGTCAAAGTTGGTGTCAAGTCAACTTTATTCTACAAATTCACCTCAAAGAATTTGCTAAACTGTACAACCATAACCATCTATATTGTAGTTTAGTTGTTTACTGGAGGGGGGTCACACATTTTGTTTATTCATTTCTTTGGATAAATTAAAGAATACAACTAATATATAGTAATATATAAGGCATTTAGGTGTATCTGAGAGCATATGTCATAATTCCAGTTGCAGCAGATTATGTCAAGCCCTGAGGTGTAATTTTCCAAACTTGGCCAATGCTCCAAATTGTAACATTGACTTATTTTATTTATGTTGTAAATTTAACTTAAGGGATAACTCAGTATCTTGAAGGCAGATAAGTAGATTAAGTTCATTGATCCTGCAGTGAGGATTTGTTATTCTGGGAATTCAGTGTCATTAGCTGAACCTTGCATTCACTGCACTGAGACCTATGCTAGACTTATGAAGAAGACTACATCTGTAGGTTTTGATTTTAGCTATTCAAGTACAATCCTGTGCTTTCATTTGGGTCTTGGTATTCTTGCTTGATAGCCAGATTTGGTCCACGTGTCGCTATTTGTCTACCACTGCCACAGACATGCAGTTTGGAAAATGCAAACACTCGATAAAATGCAAATATTAAACTGTTAAGAGGAGAAACATGAGCAGACACCAATCAGGAAAGCCGGTAAAATGTAAAATTTACTGTTTGTTTGCATGATTTGTGAATTTATCTCTGGTGTTTTTTTCATTTTATGATGTCACAGTCAAACTGATCTACAGCTCTCACTGGTCACCTGATCACTTTAGCTTATCTAGGAATCCAATGTTTCATCTTTAAATCGCTTAATGGCATCCAAAGTTTGCAATGTAATCACATTACCACCTCAAAGTAAACAAAACGTTTCAGCGACACCACAATCAGAGCTTAACACAGTTTAGTCCTTGTATCAAAACAACATCATTTGCTCTTCTTCTAAACTCTCTGTGGTCAGTGTATTTTACATTCATACAAAAGTCAGGTGACTCCTCTTTTAGCCAAGCCGCTGCCATTTAAGAGCAGATAACTTGCAACAATATTTGCTCTCATTGTTGCCGGTGTTTCTGCAGTTGCACAGGCAGCTGTTGTGTTTGCTGCTTATCATCTGGTCATTCACTGGATCTAGTCAATCCCTTTATGAATGTAATGTGTTTTAAAATAAAAGTACAGAGTGAAGTTTGGAGAAAAGAGAAAGATTCAGACAGTCAACTACTAAGTCACATTGTTTTAAATATTTTTGACACGATGATAATCTACAAAAAAAAAACCATTGTTATTGACATCCAGTCACAATCGCAAGAACTGTCGTAAATGGAAAATAATCTCAAATTGGCTGGTTTTGATTGAAATCTGAACAACCTGATGAATCTGACCCAGAGTTTGATGTCAACACTGAATACCTGAGAGGGTTTGACACCTGAAGCTACAGCTGTTCAGTTGTTACCAACACACTACTCAGGTTTAACACTCAGTCGTGTTTCCAGCGCGTGCGAGTGTGTGAGGCAGTTTAGGGTTGCCAGATAATAATTGACAAGTGAAACTAATAAAACAATCTGTGGAGCTCACTACCTTCTCTCTCTCTCTCTGAGCCTCGTCGGACAAAGGTCACAGTGTGTCTCAGGAACAAAGGTCTCCAAAGGTGTGTTTGTGTGTGTGTTTAGTGGTGAGGGTGTGTGTGCTCAGCGTATCAGCCGGTCTTTCTCGGTGTGATTTTGCCCGTCGCTCTGCTTACTCTGATAGATTCAAGCAAACAGTGAAGAGTTCACGTGTGGAGCCTGCAGGGCATCAGTCTCTCGTGTGCACCGAAATACATGCGTGGTGATTTTCCCAGGTGCCAGTCGTGTTTGAATAAGAACACAAGCAGACGTGACCTGCATCACCGGCTGATCGGGTAACCACAGGAAACACACACGTATACTTGACATACCTGTGAGGACCCTCATTGGCATAATGCATCCCCCAGTCCAAACCCTTATTGACCCAAGCTGCTTCAACCTTAAAGATTCATTTCAGTTTCTTTTAACCTGTCATATTTCCCCAATAAACATAATTGTAAAAAAAAGAAAGAAAGCGCCGTAAAAAACAAAGACTAAATTTCAAAATACATACTTTAAATACCTACTACAGCTGCTCTGGCAATGTACCTAATGTTTCTTGCAACATGAACACAATTGGGACGGACTGCTTTAT